GTGTAACAAATCTTTGTGCTGAGCAATAACCATCAATTCCCCTTTGACGGGCCCTGCTCAGGAACTCCTTCCGGAAAACGGCAGCTTATGGAAACCTGGAGAAGCTTTTCCTTGGTGGCCGTTCCCGACATTCCGGGTTTGGCCTCTGAACTCCTCGAATATCTTCCCTGGGGTGTTTGGTTTTAAAGGAAATGGAATTTCCCCCCTTTTTCAGATCGGAGAAATGAATGTTTAAAGTTTGGAATTGGAGAAAAAGCAGCAGGAAAGTCCATTTTCTCTTCCATTTTTCAGGCAGTGCCGGAGTTGTGTTGCCAGAATCCCCTTCCCTGGAAGGTTTGCTGTCACACAAATCCATCTTTTTTTCTTGGAAGTGTTGCTTTGTCTGCTTGGACTTGGCCTTTATTTTGCTTTTCTAGTTCTTTTTAAGCCACGTCTCTCTTTCCAGCAGAGGACTGCTGGATTTAATTTATAATTTTACCATTAAAAATCCCGTTGGTGCCCTTGGGAGTCGTTGCATTTTAGGGTCTGTTGGCGCCCATTAAATCCAGCATTTTATATCCTGGCCATAAATTTACTTGGGGAGGGGGGGAGGTGTGTGATATTATTATTTTTGTCAGGATTTCCCCCCTGATTAGAGGTGTTAATACGAATATAATATTATTATTACCCCTTTTCTACAAGGGGTAAGTTCTCTGCTGCATTTTTCCCCCCCTCTAAGCCAAAGTTTCTCCGGAATTCTTGCAAATCACGTCTTCCAAAGTGGGTGTTTTGGAGCCTGTTAATGAATCACACTTTGGCAGTGTTTGCCCTGACGTGATAAACAATTGTTCTCTTGGCCTGTCAGATTATTGAGCCACAAACTTGGAGACGTTTTACGTGGTTTTTGTTGTTTTCTTCTTTTTAAAATGCTTTTTTTTGTTGTTGTTGTTGACAGCCTGTCCCCCAAACACCTCGGCCTTTATGTAGACTTTAACAGTCTGAAGTGAGTTAATATTATTTTTTAGTGAGTCTGAGCCCATTTGGGTTTTTTTACTGGTTTTTTTAGGGCGTTTTGGTTGGGTTTTTTTGGGTGCAGTTCTGCTCCATCACGTCCTAAGGCAGGTAGTGGAGCCTTATTTCACCTCAGAAGTTTCCGGCCATCCAGAGCTGCAAACGGGATGATGAATCTTTAGAGGCACCTAATAAAGAGCTGAACTTAGTCATCCTTGTGATTTTGGTGTGCAATATCCTGTCAGGGATGGGCAGAACAGCCCTCTCTCACTCAAGGTGTCCTCTTTTCAGCAACATTTAATATTCATTCCCAGATCATCATTTGGGACCATTAACGAGACCGATATTCCTCTCGGACTGGGGCTGTTAATCCTGGCTTGGGACTTATCCAGATTACCTCTGCAGCTTCCAAAGGAGAAGTTCCCTTTTCCTGCTGGAAATCTTCCCTCCTCTGCTGCAGTCCTGTTACACAACCACCTTCTCCTGCAGGAAAGGTGGAATTCCGGTGTGGAATCCTTCCTGGAGCTTACGTGGATCGGTGGTTTCCTTTGGTTCAAAGGCTGCTTTGGGTTCCTTTTTCCCTTTATTTTACTCTCTCCCAGGTCACCCACTCACCATTTGTCATCAGGAGGGGAGGTTTTGTCCTACCTGGAGTAATTAGTCTTTGTTAGAGCTCTGGTGATAAATAGCAGAGGAGGAGGAAAAAGGGAAACGATGAGTTTTGTTTCGGCGTCAGACTCTTCCAGTGAAGTTGGGAATGCGCCAGTCGCTCCCAAAGGGAAGGGATTTGTGGGATTTTTCATGGCAAACCTTGTCCATCTTGTGTCCATCCTCCAGGCTGCCACAGTCCAGTTCTTTGTCACACAAAACAACCCCCTCAGACTTGTATTAATGTGTCTGTGAATCACTTCACCCAGACTTTGCCGTGAGGGCAAAGGCAATTCTAACCTGGGAATGACGTAGAAACTCTCCCCTGGGAGAGGCTGGAAACCCTTCTGAAGTTCCCTGTGAAAGCTTCATGGTTTGAAGAGAGGATTGGTTTGGATTTCTCCAGGTATTCTGAGCGCAGCCTGACCAAGTGCGTGGGGATAACGATCGAGACGAGGCCGGATTACTGCCTGAAGAGGCACCTCAGCGACATGTTGTCCTACGGCTGCACGAGGCTGGAGATCGGGGTGCAGAGCGTCTACGAGGACGTGGCCCGGGACACCAACAGGTGAGGGGAAGAGGGACGTGGAATCCTGGAATGGTTTGGGTGGGAAGGGACCCTCAAGCTTGTCCGGTTCCAACCCCAACACCTCCCGCGATCCCAAGTTGCTCCAAGACCCGTCCAACCCGGCCTTGGACGCTCCCAGGGATCCAGGGGCAGCCACAGCTTCTCTGGGAATTCCAGACCAGACCCTCAACACCCTCCCAGACAAGAATTCCTTCCCAGTATCCCACCCAAATCTCCCCTTTTCCAGTGGGATCCATTCCCTGTGTCCTGTCCCTCCAGCCCTTGTCCCAAGTCCCTCTCCAGTTCTCCTGGAGCCCCTTCAGGCTCTGGAAGAGACTCCAAGCTCTCCCTGGATCCTTCCCTTCTCCAGGCTGGACATTCTCAGCTCTCTCAGCCTGGATCCAGAACCTGCCATTGGATCCATCCCCAGCCCAACTCCTCTCTGGGAAGGAGTTCTGGGAACAAGGGGGTTCCCTGGGAATCTTGGCACTCAGGGAAAGGTCCCCTTCCCCTTTCCATTTTTCAAAGCCTCCTGCAGAAGGGCTTTGCTGCAGATGCTCCCTCCAACTTTTCAGAGCAGTGAATAGAAACACACTCGGAGAATAACAAAAAAAAAAGGGTGATTCGAGTTCCTCTTCCTTTTGAAACGACCTCATTTTGCTTCTGCTCCGCTTTGTGCGTGGGAGCGACGTGTTGTGGTGGTTTTTTTTGGGGGGGCTTTCAACTTTTTAATATTTTGCTCGTAGCAAAATGTCAGATTACAACCAATTAGGCAAACTGTTGGGGAAATTACTTTCTATTCTGTTCCAGCAGTCATTAGCGAGGTGGTGTGGGGTTTTTTGTGTTGTTTTTTGGTTGTTTTTTGAGTGCTTTCGGCGGCTGCGAGGCAGAAAAAATATTCGAGAGCTGATCTTAGGCATCAAATAATCGAGTTATTGATGCAGCTCGAATTCCACTCCTAATAAGAAAATAATTTTTATTTATGAAGCGAGTCTCCATTTCCTCCCCTCGGGCTTCTCAAGGGCCTGAGTAATATTGTCCTTGAACAGCCTTGGAAAAACACGGTGACACTTGTTAAAAAAAACCCAAAAAAACCCAACTAAAAAAAATCATAAATAAAACTGTAGGGAAAAAAAAACTGCAATGAGGGAATGAGTGGAGGTGGAACCTTCTGGAAGAGAGGAAGGAATTGAGCCTTAAAACTGGGGAAGCAGCTGCTGGTTTGGTTAAAATGAAGGCTGGGTGCCCGTTCTGGGTCAGAATTAAGTGTAAATGAACAGATTTAGGTCTGAGGTGCCCAGATGGGGGTAATTTTTCACCCCAAAGGACTGTGGAGGAGGAGAATTCCACCCCTGGAGCGGGGAATTCCAGAAGGTGGGGTGAGAGTGTGATGGGGAGCAAGGTCAGGGGTTGCTGAGGGGGTCGAAATGTCCGGAGATATCCCGAAATCTCAGCCAGGGGTGGGAAGAACCAAAGCCAGGACTTGGTGGGAAGACTGGTTGCTGTGATGGGAATTCCCCCCTGGCTGTGGGTGGAGGCTCTGGAGCTGTGGAGGTGGAAGGAGAGAGGAATTTGCTCAAGGATAATGAACCTTTGTTCCTGCCATGGTTTGGGATCCGGGTCTCTCCAAGCTCCGGAATCTGAGCTTGGTTTGATGTCAGAACGTGGAATCCTTCAGGAATCCCAGTCCAGCCCGCATTTTGGAGCTGAGAAAGTTGGTGTTTCTCTAACCAGGAGCGTGTTTCGGGATGGTTTTCCAGCTGCCTGGTTTTCCTGACCCCCCCATCCTTCTCCTTTCCTGTTGTTTTTGTCTTTGGTTGTTCCTCATCCCGATTATCCGCAGCCGCCGCCGCACCGTGTCCTCCTTGTGCTGTGGCACCAACTGGTGTCTTTGGCTTTCCCAATTGGATTTCAGCAGCTCTCTCAAGCTTCTCCAGCTGGGATTTGAGCAGTTGGAGCCTTGGAGTGGCTCAGCAGCAGCAAACTTTTAATACTTTAATAAAAACACCTTTTTTCCCCTTATAGAAGTTGACTCCAACCACGTTCCAGACTCAACCCGCTCTCTCTTCCCGGAGTTAAATCTCAATTAAACATCTCCAGTGTGGCTCTTCCTGCCTGATTCTGGATCTCTTCCCTCTCTTCCCAGAGGCCACACGGTGAAGGCTGTGTGTGAATCCTTCCACCTGGCCAAGGATGCTGGATTTAAGGTGGTGGCCCACATGATGCCTGACCTCCCAAACATGGGCCTGGAGAGGGACATGGACCAGTTTGTTGTGAGTAATGCCTTAAAATACCCGGGAATTTCTCGTGTTTTCCAGCTTTTTCATCCAACTCTTCCCGTTCTTACCTCAGCCATCAGTTCTGATCCAGCCCAGGCTTGTTTTTCTTAAGGACAAAATAATTGAAAAATCAATTTTTTTTTTATTTTTTTTTTTTTGGAAAGGTGGAGGGTGAGAAAAGATTTGTTGAGCTACTTCATCCAGAAAATTATATCCCTGCCTCATGAAAGCCTGAGTCACCAGGGTCCCTGTGGAATATTGCTCTTCCCATATTAACTGGGGCTCTTGCTTTTTTTTTTTTTTCCAAGTTTTCTTCCTGGGATTTAGAACAGTGCACAATTGCAAGTTGAAAGAAGGCAATTAATTGCAAAATGAAGTGTACAGGTGTGTCATGAAGCATCTCTGTTCTTGGTTCGGTATCTCTGTCAATGGTGTAGAAGAAAACAGAAAATGATTCCTGGAGATATGGAAATGAGGAATAAAAGTATAAACAGTGCAGGGAATTAACCACTCTAGGTGGTAGTTTGGTAGATTTTCATTATTTGTTGTATTTTTTTTAAGGCAAAATCAGTTGTGTTTTTAAAATAATGCAGGAACTGGGACGTTTCCTAAGGAGTTTTGTGCAGAATTCCTGAGCACAGTGCCTTAGTGCTTAACAAATATTGTATTTGTGTGACAGAATAAGGGACTGGGGCAGAGGGATGTGCACAAACCCAGAGGTGCAGCCAGAACTCAAAATTCCCCCTCCGGGCTCTCCTCCTGGGTTGTTTTCCTACCACGCTGTAGGGAAGTAGAGTGTGGACACGACGTAGGATTTTCCAGGAATTACTTGTGGTGCAGAACCTGAGTCCCTCCCCGATATCTCCTGAAGTTCCAGCTGCTTTTACGTGGGTTTTATGTGTTTTTATGGGCCTGTCACGAGCCAAGGGGAGACAATTTGTGGTGTTAAATGAGCAATAATGACAAAAAGATTTAAAGAGCCAGGCAAGGAGGAGCCTGGTGATCCGAGGTGTTTACAAGATGTCAGAGTGGAGAGGGAGGGATTATTTAGGGCAGGATTGCAAGCTCCTGTAGGAAGTATTTAGTGCTTGTTGTTCTTTGCTGCTTATTCATGATGGGCGGTTAAGGATTTCCCACCGTGGGATCTGGAATTGCTCCCGTTTCGCTGCAGATTTGGGAACAGGTTTGGGAGGTTTAAGTTCAAGTGATGGCATCACTGAAGGTTGTTGTGTCCCTTTGTAAAGGGCAGCTTTTTGCAGGAATTGAAGAGGCAGGGGGGCAAAGTTTGCAGGAAGGAGGCTGGAATTGGGAGAGGGGGAATGAAAAGGAAGCCGAGCATGGAAAAGCAGGAGAAGGAGAAAACAGAGCAGAGAAGGGCAAGGGGTTTGTGCTGTTTCTGCCCCAGGGAAGTCCCTTGGCTTTAGGAGCTGGGAAAACTCCTTGTGAAAAGAGTTTTGTGGAATGAGGTGGGTTTTGAGGTCCCTCCCAACCCAAACCATCCTGGTGAAAACCAGTGTGGATGGTGGGACTCTGGACGTGGCAGGAAGGAATCCACGTGGGATGGGAAAGGATGGGAAGAGAGGGAGTAGGTGAGAACAAGGCCTGGAGAGAATTAAAATATTTATAAATTTATGAGAGGAAGGGTTAAGATAAGATGGGAATTTTTTTGCTGGAGGGCCAGAGTTGGCAAAAAGCAGGTGGTTGGAGGGTCAGGGAAGAGAAATGGGGAGCAGGGGAAGGAGAAATCCAGGTGGGAGTTGAGGAGGGGAGTTCAGGAGGGTGGAGGGTGATGGGGGTGAAGACCAACTCTTTGGGAATTTAAAGCAGGACTCACGGATCAAATGAAGGTTTGGTGCCAGTGAAGCTCCAGAGGAGGAGCTGGAGGATGAGGAATCCACGTGGAGGATGAAGCCCTCAAGTGATGAGAGGAGGAAAAGTGGGAGCTGGGGAGGGAAACTGGGAGACTTCTTTTTACCCCCTCCTTTGCTTTCTCATCCTTTTTTAAATATGTTATAATTTAATTTCCAAGCATCCTTTGTCCCAAGGGGTTAAACCAACTCCTTTCTTTTATTAATCTTTTTTTTTTTCTGGTGCACGTAGCAGAGGTGTTCAGCAGGCTAATTCCTTCATTCCCAGGGATCCAGCTGATAGTAGATTCTCTCCTTCCTGCCTTAAAATTTTATATCATCCTTTTGGGTTATTAGAACAACTTATTTCTGTGTTGTGCTGCATAAATATTAGTCCAGGCTGGTAAATATTTAGACACTTCTACTGCATAAAACTAATGGGGCAGTGAAGAGAGGAACCCAGTGGAGGCACAAAGCTGCTCCTTGTGCAGAGTTCTCCTAAAATGTGGCATCTTCTCACAGTCATGGAATGGTTTGGGTGGGAAGGGCCCTTAAAGCTCATCCAGTTCCAACCCTGACACCTTCCACCATCCCAGGTTGCTTCAAGGGAATCCAGCCCAGCCTTGGACACTCCCAGGGATCCAGGGGCAGCCACAGCTGCTCTGGGAATTCCAGACCAGCCCCTCCCCACCCTCCCAGCCAGGAATCCCTTCCCAATATCCCACCTCTCCCTGCCCTCTGGCACTGGGAATCCATTCCCTGTATCCTGTCCCTTCATCCCTTGTCCCAAGTCCCTCTTCAGCTCTCCTGGAGCCCCTTTAGGCTCTGGAAGAGGCTCCAAGCTCTCCCTTCTCCAGCCTGGCCATTCTCAGCTCTCCCAGCCTGGATCCAGAGCCTGCCATTGGATCCATCCCCAGCCCAACTCCTCTCTGGGAAGGAGTTCAGGGAACAAGGGGGTTCCCTGGGAATCTCAGGACTCAGGGAAAGGTCCCCTTCCCCTTTCCTGCCTTTTCCATCCCTGACTTCCACAAAAATCCGTCTAAATGGATTCTAACCTGAGTGTCCTTTATCCTGGAATTCCAGACTGGTTTGAGTGGGAAGGGACCTTAAAGATCATTCTGTTCCATGAGCAGGGACACCTCCCACTATCCCAGGTTGCTCCAACCTGGACTTGAACACTTCCAGGGATCCAGGGGCAGCCACAGCTTCTCTGGGAATTCTATTCCACCCTCCCAGGGAAGAATCCCTTCCCAATCTCCCATCTCTCCCTGCCCTCTGGCAGTGGGAAGCCATTCCCTGTGTCCTGTCCCTCCAGCCCTTGTCCCAAGTCCCTCTCCAGCTCTCCTGGAGCCCCTTTAGGCTCTGGAATGTTCTCCAAGCTCTCCCTGGATCCTTCTCTTCTCCAGGTGAACACCCCCAACTCTCCCAGCCTGTCTGAAAATACCCTTGACTTTTTGGGACGAAAGACACCTTTGGCTTATCAGGAATCTTTACAGATGTTTGATTTTTTTAGTTTTAAATACGTCAGGGAAAAAAAAATCCCTTTATTTGTCATGCCAGTCTCCTTCCCAGCCACCTGCTTTTCAGACCAGGGACAAAAGGAACCAAGTTGACTTTAGGAGGAGCTTTAAGCACCTTTGCCTTCATCACCAGTTGATATATGAATTCCAGAGGCTTCTCCTGGGAAGGCAATAACTTGCTGATTGTGCTGACCGGGGACTAAAAATCCTGGGTGCTTCTTCAACTTGAACAGGTAATTACAGTTCCAGGAGCAACGTTGCCTCTGTCCCTTCTGACCTATTGATTTCCAAGTGTCTCCTGCTCCTTCCATCCAGCAGCAAAGGTGCCCAGCACTTCTTCTTCTTCTGCAAACACGTCAGAGCTCTGGGTGTGGGGTCAGCAACTGCTCTTCTGGTGATTTTATTAGTAATTCTTCCAAAGATTATTTTATTGATAGGAGTGTGTTGCCTGTATCTTTTGTTATAGGTGTTTATTATTATTATTTTGGTAGTGAATTCCATCCCTGGAAGTGTCCAAGGCCAGGTTGGACAGGGCTTGGAGCAACCTGGGATGGTGGAAGGTGTCCCTGCACATGGCAGGGGGTGGAATTGGGATGAGCTTTAAGGTCCCCTCCAACCCAAATAATTCTGTAATTCTCTGATTCCATGGGTTTTTTACAGTAATCTGGAATAGTGGAGCATCCTGGGATGGTGGAAGGTGTCCCTGCCCATGGGCAGGGGGTGGAATTGGGATGAGCTTTAAGGTCCCTTCCAACCCAAATAATTCTGGGATTCTGTGATTCCATGATTTTTCTACAGCAAGTGGCACGTGAGTGGCTTTTCCCTGCCTCCATCATGAAGATTATTCCAGTTGTGTATACAATTATTCCAGTTATATATACAATTATCCCCCTTATTACACAATTACTCCAGTTATATTTTGGATTATTATAGAGTGGATGTTCTGTCCCCGTGTCCCAGTTCTGCCGTGCTTTTCCCCCCTCCCACATTCCCCCCATCCTGCCTGTCCTCCCCACTTCTTATTGATTCTTTTTATAGCCTCAGAGGATTTCCTTTCCACTTCAGGTCTTTCCACCCCGTCCCACATATGGGAAAACGCCGCGGGGAAGGGAACACGCTCTGCTTCCTCCCTCCTCCCTCCCGGTCGTGCCAGGTAGTGTAAATGTTACACACACACACACACAAACCATCAGACCCACTCCCAGGGCCTCCCTTAGCAGGTGGCCGGGGAAAATAATTAGAATAATAGCTGGAATAAATCAAGGGCTCAGCGGGAATAATGGAATTGCCGCCAGAGCAGACACCTCATCCCGCGGAACGCCGTAAACGCTCGGCTCCGCCGCTGCACCGGGAGAGACATGAGGTGGCTCTGGGGGTAAATGGTTGGGAGGATTCATGAATCACCCTCGCCGCCGGGGCTGCCAAGCAGAACTTTTTGGATTGAAGCGGGAACTTTGGGAAGGCTGGAGAATTCCCGCGGCGCCGTTAGTGATGCCGCGTTCCGTTTCCGCGGAGCCGCTCGGCGGCAACGGGAGAACCAACAGCTGCTCTGGAATAGCTCTTCCTAGTGCTAATGTCCCTAATATTCCTAATGCTCCTAATATTCCTCTTTATTCGAGGATAAACA